TTCAACTCCCAGAATTCCCCAGCCAGCGGATGCTGGCTGGGGAATTCTGGGAGTTGAAGTCCGGACATCTTCAAGTTGCCAAGGTTGAGAAACACTTGAGCTACAGTCTGTCTTCTTTTAAATTCTTCCCCTCTCTGACAGCACTTTGCCAAACTGAAATTCCAAGAATTATTTCTGTCAAACTAGCATGTTACATTATATTTTAGATATTAACAGCCTGTGAAAAATCCAGGTTGCAACCACCAGATCATTGCCCCAAGGCAGCCTACAAATGAAACAAAAATGGTACGGTACAAAAATCATGCAAGCAAGGATAAATGACAGAGGCCCTTTTTTTTCCCAAGAAGTTTCCTGTTCTGACCCATTAACTTTATACTTTGGCAGGCTCTAAAGGAGAGGGGGGAGTTGCTTGTGATTCTGGAGGCATCAGGTTCTGTACCCAGTAAGCCACCTGCTCCCTCCAGAGTTTAGCTGAAATTTGAGCTCCATGTTTTTAATTTGTATATACAGGCTTCATTCAGATCATCTCAGTTAATTCTCTTTCATATTTGGAGTAGAACTGCCTTTTCTCAAATTGGATCCTCAGATATCCTGGGATTAAAACTCCAGGAGTTTGTAGCCAGCTGGTTGGAACACATCTGAAAGGGCTAGCTGAGAGAATTCAGGATAAGGCTTTACAGACAATCTGGATATGAAATACAGGTAGCCTTTGATTTATCCCTGTCCATTATAGTCGTAAGTCACGAGAGGGATAAAGCGGGTAACCTATGTTGACCGACCTAATTTTATGACCGTTTTTGCAATGGTCGTTGTGTATCACCATAGTTGTTAAATGAATCCATGGTTGTTAAGCAAACCAATTGCCCACTATGGGGTGTTTTTGCCCCCCCCCCAAAAAAAACGGGAAGCAAGTGCTTTGGCAAAAATGTCATAAATTACAGTCACATGACTAGGGGGCAGCTACCGGACCTTTAGAACTGGGTTGTAATGCTTTTTGGAGATACTTTTCCATTCCTCACCATCCAATCAGAGCTGAAGAAGCTTCTTGGATGAGAAGCGAAATGTCTTCAAAGACAAACCAAAGACAAGTCCAGTTGCCTCTTGAAAAAGTACCTGTTGGGATAACCACGACCTGGATGGCAGAGAATCTCCATAAACATACTTTTTGGAGAGTTATTATAACTCTGAACAGTCACTAAACAACCA